AATTCGGATTATAGAGGACAAATGTTACGTTTTTTTAATCACATCAAGTGTCACTGCTCGTTTTGTACATATAGCTGCACAATAATTACACACAGGCAGATTTATACGACTTGAACTAACCAAATCACTTTATGCCCCAACTAAATGTATACATTTATCGTATATAAACAACTTTTAGGAATAATTTGATGAGTTTCCTTTACTCGTTAGCTTGAATATGGTTGAAAGAATGCCACTCTGCCCTAATTATGTTCGTCATATGACGGACGACAGCTTTGCACATATTCGCAGGAATCGAAGGAGATTGCCTCGGTGACAGCGTCAACCAGAATGTTCCAATGGAGTTAACCAGTAGCCAGCTAAGACGAATCCTCTATCGTCTTCTGCACTGATCCATCTTCCAATCTCTTCGTCACGCATGCTTTGGCTCAATTAACTGCAACAATTACCTCAATACATCTCCTTTCAGCCCTAAGGTGTGTGCTCCTGAACGCTTCCGCGTTTGGCAACATGTCGGGGATGTCCACCCCTCGATCAGCTCAACCCGATCAACTATTGATCAGTGGAGTGCAATCGAGACCTCGTAACCACTGCCCTTCCAAATAAACATTTTACGCACACACAATGGCACGTGGGATGGCCAAGCTGTCGTCAAGCTGTCCCAGGACGGTAGTGTCTGGGCCGCAGGTTATGTTATTGTGTGGCCGGCAAGTTGTCAAGGCCGTGCTGGTGCCCTGATTTCACAGCATTCAGGGCCATTTATAAAGGCCTCAACGTCCGCCATCTTGGTCAGCGCTCGAGGTGAGAGTGGCCACGACCCGGAACCACAGTCAACCTGTTCCGCCATTGACCCAGACCGGAACATAAATCCGGTAGCAAAAACACTCATCTTTAGAGTCGCCATGAGAGGACATTCACGATATGTGAATATGTGTGTGCACATGTGCTTGTGTGAGTGTGCAAAGAGCCCATTTGCCGTGGGGCTGATGGGCGAAACGGAGGCCGAGGCAACAGACGTTTTGGAATAGTCTGCAAGAGGAGAAGAGGAAAAAAGTTCGGCTGCCACCTCACGCTATGCAATTGGGAAGAAACGGCAAATAAACCTCCAGCCGGCCGATCCAGCCAGTCTCACGCACTTTCAGATGATATACATGCCCTTGACGGGCTCCCTAAGCATCGAATTCCCATCTACAGTTGCGCGAGAAGCCACATGAGCCGTGCCAACCCACAGTCCACAATGCTACTTCAAGAGTCGCAATCTCTCCGGTTGCCAAAACCACTCTGGCGGTCAAGGGCGACTCTAAAGTGTGGCATCTCCATTTCATCTTTAAAGGTATCCAAAACTGCTAAACCATACGTTTGGGTGTACTGCACGACCATCATGTTCCGAGTGTGAGTCCGGATCGGGTTGAAAGTGTGGCTTTTTAGAGCCACAAGCCAAGCTCAAACGCGATGATGACTAAACCATTATTTGCCGTGACTCAATGAGAAAGCTTATTTCATCAAATCGATTCTGCCTAGCCTTCTCGTGGAGCCGTTGGCCGTGCACAGCTGCCTGAAATTTGGTGGCCATTCATGATTACATTATGCAGGCACATAATCGATTTTGCCTAGCTGCCTCATGAACCATTTGGCCTTAGACAAATGTCTAGCATTTGGTGTACATCGATTGTGTCACTTATTCTGTTGAGCTTGAACATGACGAAAACAGTTTTCCCAGGCAAGTTAGGCTTGGATTTGCTCTTAGACCTCGGCTTAATCTGGAGGCGAGCACGTTTGCTGGTGCGTCGCCTCAAACGTACGCCGCTTCAACATGCTACATTTCTGAAGATGTGAAGACCAAGATGTTGTGGCCTCGGGTATGGTCAAACCTTTACTTTATCTTCTATACTCACTGATATGGTTCTTGAATAATACTCTAATCTTTTTCAAATTCTTACAATAAATATCAACTATTCTAATGATAAGGTGAAATATAATTTGCTAAATACAAAGTAAATTATAATTTTACTTAAAGAATAATTAAAATAGTTTTCATTTAAAATGTGAAGACCCAGATGTTGTGGCCTCAGGTATGGTCGCAGTCTTGTCTCTTCGACGAGTTAGTATCTTGGTGCGGAGAATGGCAAGGCTCACTG